AAGTCCTCTGGAGCTGAAGCCTGATCATCCTCTCTACCACCTTCCCCAAGAAGGGAAGGTTGGGGACTGGATGCCAATTTTCCAGGACCACTGGGTTGAGATGGCTTCTTGAGGACAGGATGCAACACAGCCTCCTTCAAGGACAAGGGGACTGCCCCCTCACTCAAGGTCAACACCACTGCATGGACCCAATCACAGGTCACCTCCCAGGTGGCTTAACCATCTAGGAGGGACCTGGATCTAACAGGCAGATGACCAAGCTAACAGACTGGAGAACTCTGTTTCCTTCTTTGGGAGTCAGAAAGTCAAACTCACTCCAGATTATCTCATAAGGCCTTGCTTTGGTCATCTCAACTGGATCTGTCCAGTCACAGTCCAAGTAGTTCTGAGCAACTTTATCTGCCAACTGGCAAGAATATTCCTCACAATGGCCCTGTAGATGGTCATATGACCCATTCCTCCCTAGCAGGGCCCAGGCAGCCTTAAACAGGGCCACGGGATAGCTATCAGCAGACACAATAAGAGAAATAATAAATGTTTTGCCACCCATATCACCATGATATCATCCCTAATATGGATTCTTAGTCATGCTCAGTTAGATTTACTCTTCATCTTTGTCTAAAGAGTGTTCCAGGTGTCTCTCCCTGAACTGTATCTCCTGGAGCTTCTCAGAAAACAACAAGCATACCAGGATATGCATAGGGAGAAAGGCCACTTAGGGGCAAGTCCAGTCTAAGGCCATCATTATCAGCCCATTCCAGGCTGTGATTAAGGCCTTTAAAGTTGGCTAGACTTGAGGGAGTAAAGACTTGAGGGAGTAAAGACTCCCTCAAGTCTAGCCAACTCTGATATCTTCATGGACATGCTTATGCAAAGTTTTCTTCTTCTTTTTTTTTTACAGCAATATAGCCATTCTTTCAGGCTATTCTGCGCCCCCCCCCCACCTTATTTAACTCCCGTCTACCCTGCAACCCTGGAATTTCCTAGTAATCTCCCATCTTTAACCAGATTTGAACCTACTTAGCTTTTGAGGATCAGCTAATTTTGGCTCTCACCTGTTGTAGATAAGACTGTCATACTATTAATTTAAAGAAGTGAACTGGACAAAAATTAATTTAAAAATGTAAAACACCAGAGGAAAAATACTCAGGGATGGCTTAGAGCAAAGAGAGACATAACTGAAAAAAAATCAAGCATACCCTCATCCATATCAATAGGATCTGGTCTGGCTGGCTTAGTTTCTGGGTTTGGATCAATTTCTCCAGGTTTAAGTTTTCTAGGATCATCAGCAGTTTCTTCCTCATTGTCCCTCTGAGCAGCTTTATCTCTATGAAGATGATACAAAAACAACAGCCCAAAGATAAGAAAACACTGGCTGGTGTGGGTCTTCTGGGCTGTGTGTCCGTGTTCTGGAAGTTTTGTTTCCTAACGTTTCGCCAGCATCTGTGACCGGCATCTTCAGA